ACAACTGATAAATATAATCATTAATTGACAGAAAAATTATTATTTATTATTTAAAAAGATAATATTAATTTATAAGCTAACGTTTTTAAATATTATAATTATCTTTTTTTTTAAATTACTTTATATGTTTATTTTTAATAAACTTAATTTTATTTTTGATTTTTTTAAACATAAATTATAAGTGCAAATTTAACCACTTATATGAATAATAATTAAAAAAAAATTTACATAAAATTCTTATTAAGTATTTTTATTTAATTAAAAATATTTTTAATTATCATTTATATAATATATTAAATTTTTATTTAAAATTTCCTCTTCTATATGTTAAAATTTATTTTAAAGGATCAACTTGAAAATGATATAATTTAAAGATAATTGACAGTTCTCTCTACTATGAGAAACTGGCAGACTGGCATTGTAATTCAACGGAACCACCAACCTCAAGCAGTGGTCCCCGAACTCACTGTTCCAGCTTTATCCTTCTACCAAACAGACTTCATCATCTCTTCGCCGCCGGGCCCCACCGCCCGCAGCCCATTCCATATCAACCAACACAACCCCCCATCCCCCATTACCACCACCGTCACATTCCTTAAAATCACCCCCTCCGCCCCTCCCTGTTCCTTCTAAGTTTGGCAACGCCAACGGCTCAAAATAATTGGACTAATAATTGGACCGAGTTTTTTACTGGCAAAATTTAATAAATAAATAATAATTATATATTTTATATTAATTTAGTCCAAAATCAATTTTTTCTCTCAAGAGTGATTCATAAACTATTAATTTTACATCAAAATAATTTATTTGACAAACATCCCTTAACAAGACTAACAGAATTCTTCTGACCGCTAACATGTGGCACCCTAAACTTTTGAGAAATATTGAATATAGTACATATATATATTTTTGCAACATTTTTGTTTTTAAAATTTAAATTCTTTTTCAAATGTAGTGATTAATTAAGATGATAATTTCAATTTATATTAATCAATATTCTAATTTTAATTTACAATAATTAATATTATAATTTAAATTTTATTATTTTTTAAAAAGTTTATTTAACATGTGTCATAAAGATATAGATTAAGAGTAAAATTATTGTACTTTTTAAAATTAATTATTATTAAAAAATACAAAAGTTATATTAATTTCATCATTGTGCCACATGAATCATTTT